TTCTTCTCTCTCTCTCTCCTCTCCTCTCCCTCTCCCTCTCCCTCTCCTTCTCCCTCTCCCTCTCTCTCTCCAACAAGTTCAGGCACCCTAGAGCAAATTTTAAAAATAAACAAGAATATACTATGTCATCAATAACTATAGTCACCTTGAAGTGTGGTAGTCTTTGAATTTTAATTCTCCTGTCTATCTATAATTACATATCCTCTGACCAACATCTCCACAACACCCTAACTCTCTAATCACCTCAGTCTCTGATAACCACCATTCTACTCACTACTTCCATGAGATCAGGATTTTTTTAGATTCCACGTATAAGATCATCAAGTATTTGTTTTTCTGTTCCTGCATTATTTCACTTACCGTAATGTCTTTCAAGTCTTCCCTTTTGCATATAGAAAGATCTCTTTCTTTGCTGTATCTTAAAAGTGTCCCATTGTGTGTGTGTTTATGTGTGTGTGCATAAATACACTTCTTTTATTCATTCATATGTCGGTGGAAACTTAGACTAATCATAAATCACTGCTATTATAAATAATACTGTCATAAAAATGAGAGAGCATATGGGGTTGGCAGGTGGTATGGTGGTTGGGACACTGGACTCTCACATGGCTAGCCCCTATTCAAGTCCCTGGTTTGGTGGCTTGCTTTCTCTCTCTCGCTCATCAAATTGAATAATAATAATAATAAAATTAAATAAATAATTATTTTTAAAAAGAAAATGGGAGTATAGATATCTCTGAACATATTGATTTCATGTACTTTGGGTTTGTACCCAGTGATAAAAATGCTAGATCATATCATAGTTCTGTTTTTATTGAAAAAACATTATACTACCATCCACAAAGTCTACACTAATTTATATTCACACTAATAGTGTTCAATTAATGCTTTTCTCCACATGCTCAACTCTAACTAGTTTTTATCTTTTTAATAATATTTATTCTAACCATTTTGAAGAACTATCTCATTATGGCCTTGATTTACTTTTCCCAGTGATTAGTAATGATTAGGATTTTTTTTCTTTGCCTGGGGGTCATTTGTTTGTCCTCCACTGAGAAATACCTAATCAGGTCCTTTGTCTATTTTTTTTTAATCAGGTTATTTATTCCTACTATTGAGTTGTTTGAGTCTCACATGTTTTGCTTACTTACTCCTTACCCAATGAATAAGTTGCAAATATATTCTCCAAGTCCTTATGTTGTCTCTATACTATAGATTGTTTCTGTTGCTATTTGGAAACTTTTTACTTGATGCATTCTTTTTTTTTTTTTTTTTAAGGTTTTTGCCACAGGGCCCTTACCATAGAGAGAAAAAGAGAGAGAGAAAGTGAGAAGTCACCCCCCCAGAGGGGATGGCCACCACAACCTCTTCTCTTCTATTCTCCTCTTGAGATTTTTGGGCACACTCACACATGCCCAGAGTGATTTTCAAGCCCCCAGGTCTGGGACTTGAACTGTTGTGGGCCCCGTGGGAATCCAGTACCTTAACCACCATGCCATCTACTGATCATTTTTATTTGTCTATTTGCATTTGCGTTACCTGTGCTTTTGTGGTTCCTACCCAAAAAATTATTGCCCAGAACAATGTCATACACCTTTTCACTTATGTTTTCTTCTAGTAGTTTTATCATTTCAGCTCTTATATTTAGTTCTGTCTTTTATTTTGAGTTTTGTTTGTTTGTTTTTCTGTAAGGCACATGTGCTCACTAGTAAGAGAGAGAGAAAGCACCCTCCAAGGGAGATAGCCACACTGCAATCCCCTCTCCTCCATTCTCCTCCCAAGATTTTGGGCACGCATGCACACATACCCCATGGGATTTTCAAGCTGCTGGGTCCAGGACTTAAACTGCACAGTTGGCCATGATGGATCCAGCCACCTTAACCTTCATGCCAACTGCTGGCCTTTGAGTTGATTTTTTTATGTATCATATGAGGATCTAATTTCATTCTTCTTTTTTTTTCTACTCGTGGTTACCCAGATTCCCCACACCTGTTGTTGAAAATACTGTCCTCTTCCTACCCCATGTGTTCTTGGCATCGTTAAAAAGGAAAAAAAAAATCAACTGACCAAGAATTCATGGATTTGCTTCAGGACTGTCTATCCTGTTCTATTGTTGTTTGTGTCTGATATTTTTCCCACACTGTGTTTCGTTTACTTGATAATGCCTTGTGAGACCCAACATTTTCAATTTATAGGAAACTCCAATATACATTTTTGCTTTCATTGTCATTTCTCATAATCCATTACAAATACAAGAGAGTGAAGACAGTCCTTTGTTTTCCTCTGACAGGTTTATTATTTTGGCCATTATATCAAAGCTACTGGCCTGATTGCAAATTCATTTTTGTATATGTTGTGAGATAAGGGTCTGACTTTAATTGCCTTGCATTGAGTTTGTTATTGGAAAGGTTCAATTGATGTGCCTGTGAAACCACAAATTAGTAATATCTGCTGGCTGGGCCAGCAGGGACGTGGTGATTAAGGCACTGGACTCCCCTGTGGTTGACCACTGTTCAAGTCCCAGATCCAACGTCTTGCTTTCTCACTTTCTCTTTCTTTCTCTCTCTCTGGTCAAGTTAAAAAATAATAATAGTGAGGCCAGCAGGTAGCATGGTGGCTGAGACACTGGACTCCCACATGGTCAACTCTGGTTTGAGTCCAAACCTAGCAGCTTGCTCTCTCACTTTCCCTCTCCATCACTCTCTGGTGAGTCCAAGTGCCATGTAGCAAACTAACTAAATAAATTTTTAAAATTTTTTTTAAATAATAACTAAAATTAAATAAATAGTTCCTTTAAAAAATAATAATATCTGATGGTAGTAGAATGTGTTAGTATGGTGTCCTATCTAAATGGCAGCAGTGGAAGAGAGAATCGGATTTACAGAAAAAAGTAGTTCAGAAAAGTAAGACCATGCTTGACTGAGCCATCCTCATGATCTTTCAATGCCTTCTCAGTTCAGCTCTCTCCTCCTATAGAAATCTTTGCCAGCTCCTGACACTCATGCACAATAAACAAAATCTTTTGAAACACTGTCCATATTGGTGTTGGTCATGTTCTCTGGGAAACAAACACTAAGAAATGGAAAAGGTTTCAGGAAATTTCTTGGCATGGTATCTCAGGATTACCATCTGTGGAGAGAATGGGAGGGAGCAGCTTTGGGCAGCAGGAGAAGTTGGCTGAGATGCAATCATGACTAAACTTCAGTTCATTGAGGGAGCACTACACCAGGGATGAGCTCCTGAGTTCTACAGAGTTGGGGTAAAGTATGGGGGCATTTATGACCCCTCAGAGACCAGTCTTTGGAAATGACTGCCTCTGAGAAGAAGCAGAGCACTTCTTGGTACATCATTCCCTTATTTGATAATAAATGGTTCAATGCAGCAGCCCTGTCCTCAGAAGGAAGTATGACCAAGGCTCAAGGATACTCAGGGATGAGATCAGGGTCTTCCTACCAGGAAAATCGCTGAGGCCATCAGAGATGTTATCCAAGAGTAAGGACAATTCAGAATGGATATTAGAGAAAGGAGACTGCGCATTTTTTAAAACTCCTCTACTCCATACTTCTTTTAGCCTGTATTTTACATCTGTCCTCTTCTCTAAAAAAAAAGTTAAGAGATTTTTGTTCTAGGGTGTGGGGGCTCACAAAAGAAAGACAGAGGTAGTGAGAGGGAAAATGAGAAATCACCCCCCAGGGGAATGGCCACACCACAATCCTGTCTTCTCCATTCTCCTTCCAGGAATTTGGACACCCATGCACATGCACCTAGCATGATTTCAAGTCACTGGGTCCAGGACTCAAACCACAGTCAGCCATATGGGATTCCAGCACCATAACTGCTACACTATCTGCTGGCTCCCTCTGACAAGCTTTTTAGTTGTTTTATAATTACCACTATTTTATCCTCACTCTTCCACTCATTCTACCTACATTATTCTTGCCTCTA